CCATCTCCAGACTCTTGGCCCATAGAAACTATGACGTAATAAATGGGTTTGTTGTTGTTTGGTGTGTTTTTGTTGGCTGCATCAGGTCTTAGTTGCAGGGCATGGCCTTAGCAGTTGCAGCTTGTGGGCTTAGTTGCCCCTTGGCATATAGCATCTCAGTTCCCTGACCAGAGATTGAACCCACATCCCTGAATTGGAAGGCAGACTGAAACCCCTGGACCACCAGGAAAATTGTTTGTTGTGGCAGTCCAAACACAGGTTGGAAAAGAATTTCCAGACACAAGGCAGAATGAGAGGAGAATAGAATTTATTAGAGTGGGTGATGTTGTGTACAACCATGGGCCAGCTCAAGGGAGAGCTGATGTTTTTCATGGGCTAGTAGCCAATTTTCATAGCCTCAAGAGAAAGAAAATTCCTGCTGGAAGGGTAGTATTAGATGATTCGTTAGGGTGCTATATAGGGTGAGTACTGGGGTGGGTGTTTTTGACTAATGGGTCAGGAAGCTGGCGGGCGATGATGAGGGGGGCTTTTGGCAATGGTTACAAAGGGGATTAGTCAGTTTCAGAGGTGACCTTGGTTCTGGGTTCTGTGTCATGTCTTTGGCACAAAGCCTCGCACCTGTGGCCTTGGGATAGGACTCCACACTATTGTTGTAATCCTCTGTTAGAGTAATTTGCTACACAGAACTAGAAACTAATGTCTAGTGTATCCTGGATACTGTGATGCACTGCCCAAAATCCCCCTCCAGGACTGCGGCTCTTATTCTTCTACTGCCAGGAAAGCTGGCTGCTGGTAGTTCACAGATGGAGGAATGTGAAACACCTTGCCCAGTATCTGACACCCTATAGACACACTGCTGCTGCTGCTGCTAAGTCGCTTCAGTCGTGTCTGACCCTGTGCGACCCCATAGACGGCAGCCCACCAGGCTCCTCTGTCCCTGGGATTCTCCAGGTAAGAATACTGGAGTGGGTTGCCATTTCCTTCTCCGATTTAATCGCTAAGTCACGCCTAACTCTTTGGAACCCCATGGACCATATCCCACCAGGCTCCTCTGTGTATGGGATTTCCCAGGCAATAATACCGGAGTGGGTTGCCATTTCCTTCTCCTCTATAGAACACAGTATGTGCCAGTTTCCTTCTACAGAGCCCAGCTGGAACAACTACTATGTTTTTGACAGTACCTACAATGCCATAATAGCTCACACCTGAAATTTCATTTCCTCTGGTTTCTTGAACCATGACCGCTTCTGGTAAAGGAAGGGCCTTCTCATCATAGGCATCACCTCTTGGTAACAAAACTAATTCTCTTTTGAAAACAATGATTTGTTATTTTTAAAAAAGTTTTCCCATAAATTAGCTCATTTGATCCATAGCCTCAGAGAGAGGTGGTATTATTCTCATTTTGTAGGTGAGGAAAGAAGATTGGAAATTCATCAAGGCACTTCTGCAACTTCTACCCTCTACTGAATTGTGTTTCTCTGAAAGTGTCTTAGCCAGTGAGGGAGGGGGAGTTCACCAGCTCTGCTTCAGCTCCTTCACACTGGAGATTCCTCTTCCTACCAAATGCCATATGGACTACAGTTCAAGGAGTTTTTCTCAGGGTGAAGTGAGTACTCTCTGGAACTCAAAAGTGGTACTAATTTAAGTAGCTCTCCAATTTAGAATTCTTGTGTTAGTCACAGCTTGGAGACCCTGCTTTCATTCAGGAAATATTTCCACACAAGCTGAGACAATTCTTTTTTTAAAAAAAAAAAAAGCATGTTACTTCTCAATATGAAGTTTAAACAAGCAAGAAAAACTGGAAACAACCCATATATTTATCAACAGGTGATTGGATAAACAATGGAATACTATTTATGTACTATTGATATCAAGCAACAAGATGAATGAATTTCAAACTAATTATTTTGAGTGAAAGAATCCAGACAAAGAAAGAATCCAGATTCTGTTATTGTAAAACTGTAGAAAATGCAAGCTAATTGGTAGTGTCAGAAAACTTAACAGTGGCTAATTGGGAATGGGAGAGGGCACACAGGAATGAGTAGGAGAGAGGATTACCAAGAAAATTTCTGGGGGTGATGGATTTGTTATCCTTAAAAAAATTTTTTTTTACTCTGTGGCTGCACCGGGTCTTTGTTGCTGTGCTGTCTTTAACTGTGGTGACCAGGGCTGCTCTCTAGTTTTGGTGTGCAGAGTTCTCTTTGCGGCGGCTTCTCTTTGCTGTGGAGCACGGCTCTAGGGCACGTGGGATTCAGTAGTTTTGGTGCACAGGCTTAATTCCCCCCCAGCATATGGGATCTTCCCAGACCAGAGGTCTGAACCCATCTCCCCTGCATTGGCAGGCAGATTCGTAACCACTGGACCACCAGGGAAGTTCTTGTCTTGAATATGGTCATGATTTTATGTGTTTATACATATGTCAAAACATATCAAATTGTATACTTCAAACATATGTGGTTTATTGTACATAAATTATACCTCAAAAAATAGCACCTTAATAATAAAATTTTCAAAAACACAGAAAAGTATAAAGAAGGAAATGAAAATAATGTAAGCTTCTACCATCTAGAAATTAAACCTACTACAATTTTGTGTATTTCCTTCCAGTCTTTTTTTCTATACACACACACAAACACACACAAACACAATGAGAACCAACTGTATATTCAATTATATCATAAGTATTTTCCTATGCCACTAAAAATTCTTAATATTAAACATAAACATTAATGACTTCTCCATAGTCAATCTTTTGCTTGCCCTATAACTTAGTTAGCTGTTTTCTTATTGACTATTTTTCAAATTAGGTTGTACCAACTTTACACTATTGAAAATATCACTGCCTGGAAAATCATCACACAATATCTTTGTCTAAAGTTTTATCTCCTTAGAACTTATCACTAAATGTGGAATTACTGGGGCTTTCCTGGTGGTCCAATGGTTAAGAATCCACCTTCCAATGTAGGAGATGCAGGTTCAATCCCTGGTTGGGAAACTAAGATCCCATATGTTGGGGTGTAACTAAGCCAGCGTGCCACAACTACTGAACCCTTGCACCAAAACTAGAGAAGGCCCTGTGCTCCAAGGACCCAGTGCAGCCAGAGATAATAAAAACAATTTTTTTAAGTGGAATTACTAAATCAAAATATTCCTTATTCTGAATGTAGCTGAAATAGTGTACTGTTCAAAGGTCTAAATTTTTCCCCAGGTGATACAACTTGTGGTAATAAGTCTTGGAACTTGATCAAAGCTTCTAAGCTTTTGGTCAGTCTTGGAATGTGACCAAATTGTGGTCACTGAAACTAGATGTCAGGTGTTTGGTTGTGTGGGGTTTACTGGTATTATCTAAGAATTCTCTCAGCTTTGATCCTTTTCCTTAGTTTTTCCAATCAGCTTGAACCAGCTCAGCTTGGATGAAATGCTAATTTATAAAATATATCACTGGATTTGAAAAGGAACAGGACCAAAGGACAGGAACATAGGTAGGAGGAAGTACCAGCATGGCAGCTTGGGATTTATTCATTATTTTGCAACAAAGACTTAAAGTAACTACCAGGTGGGGCCTGGGCAGAAATCATACAAGAGCTGCATCACAATGGCTTTCCAAGAACTGAGCAGCCAAAATGTAGTTCTGGAGAAACAAGGATAAAATGGTTTTAAGAATTTCACAACACAGTGTTAGGTAATTACTACACATCACCTCTAAGAGGTCAAATGGGCATCTCAAACATGACATGTCCAAAACAGACATTTTGATCTTCTTCCAAACCTATTTTCCTCCACCTTCTCTATTTGAATAAGCAATACAACCACCCACCCAGTTGCTCAAGCCAAAAATTTAGGACTCATCCTTTATCCCTTTCTATTCTGCTGATAGGGTTCCAGTCTTTCAGCAGATCTACCTACACAATACAGAAATACCATATATCCACCCAATGTTCCAACCTGGCGTAAGACACAATCATTTGCATCTATATAGTCTCTGAACCTGTCCACCCTCACCTACTCTTGCAACACCCCAATCCTTTCTCCAAAAGCAGCAGAAGGTCCACACTTTCTGATGGTTTTCCATTTTACTTAAAATCCAGACTACTTTCTATGCTTTTCTAGGCCCTATATTAATCTGGCCCCAGCATTTACACGGCCCTCATCTCCTACTGTTCTTCTTCTGGCTCACTCAGTTCCTGCCAAGCCACCTAGGAGGCCCTGCGGTTAGCTGGTCCCTCTATCTGGATATCCATGGATATTGGCATGGCTCTCCCTCACTTCTTTCAGAACTCATTCAAAATCACTCTCAGCCCCTCCTTTCCTGAGCAGCCTACCTAACATAGCCCAGCCGTACCTCGATCACTGTCACCGTCCAATGCCTTACACTTTTTCTCGTTTCTTCTCAGCACTTGTCTAATATATTTGTGAGCGCATTGTCTGGCTCACCCACAGGCTCTATGTTATATATCATTTCACTTTTTTCATTAGTGTAGGAACTTGATTTTGTTCCCCATTCTCTCGCACTGCCTGAAGTCTAGGAGACATTCGTTAAATGTTTGTTGAAAGAATGATTAAAAGAATGGCATAAGTGTAATTGTTTCATTGATTTACTCATTCGTTTCCCTCATCTCCCCCGTGAAGGTAATCTCCATGAAGGCTGGGATCGTGTCCATTTTGTTTTCTACAATATCCCCCAAGCTTTGGACAGAGCTGTGAAAGTAACAAGTGCAAAGCGATGTTAAAGGAAAGAGAGGGGTTCCACTAAACTGGCTGAGGGGTTAAGCGAGGATGCAGATAAAAAACGATCTCTAAACTGGAAACGAAACAGAAACTACAACAAGGGTAAAATTTCACACAGGGAAAATCTCGCGAGGTGTTGGGAAGTCAAGATGGCTCTGGCATTTGCCGCCACACTTAATATGGCGACCAGGGCGCGTTCCTAGAGGAAATCACGCGAGAGTTGCATCACAGTCACAGTCAGTGAATTGAGCCGGGGGTGTGGAGCCGCCAAGATGGAGCCGGCAGCCGGCACTCCCGGCCCGCTGATCATGAACAACAAGCAGCCTCAGCCGCCGCCACCTCCGCCGCCTGCAACCGCGCAGCCTCCACCTGGGGCACCGCGGACCGCCGGAGGCCTCCTGCCTGGTGGCAAAGCCCGAGAGTTCAACCGCAACCAGAGAAAAGACTCGGAGGTCAGGAGCTTCGGGGGGCGAGGCTAGCACCAGGCGGGCGGCGCCGGTGGACCCGGGCTCCAGTTCGGGGCCACTTTCGGGTCCAGGCTGGGTTTCCTGGAGGGTTCGGCAGGGGAGTTGTCATTTACAGCGAAAGGATCAGGAAGCAAGGCTGGCATCCCCGGGGGTCGGAGGCGTGAAGGTGGGGTCCCCGCCCCGATCTCTGCCGACCGGGAGAAGCTCCCGGAACCGGTGTCGGCTTTTCTGAGGCCCGGGCTGTGGGCGCGGCCTCCGGGCCCCAGCCCTTGGGAAGTCCGCCCCCTGCCCCATTTCTCGGGTGAAGAGTCAGTGATCTGCGTGCGCTCTAGAGGGCGGGGCGGCTACACCCCCGACCCCCTAATCATCTCCAGCTTCTGGTCCTATGGGTTCCGCGGCGCGCGGTGGAGGGCGTGTGTGGGCTGGGAAGGGGCTGGCGAGGGTTGGGAAGGCACCTCCGAGAAGGACTGAGCTAATTAATCAGCACTAGTAGTATCAATACTACGCGCCTGTGGGTCGCGATGGTTGGAAAGGGGAGCAGTCTTATTCTGCTCTGACCTCAGCCACTGCAGATTCAGGCCACGGTTAGACATTGCCGGGTGGTCGGTGTGGCCAGATCAGGAATAATTTAAACAGGCGTTGGGGCTCAACATCTCTCTTCCCTCGTTCGTGGGCTGTTCCTCCCATTCCGGAGACACCGTAGTCTGGAGCTGACTAGTCACCTCACCCCGAGTTAAAGAATTACTCCCACTGCATTCCATTGTAGAATTCATGAATGAAGACACACGGTAGCAGCGTTTTAGGGCTTCTTAATCAGCATGTTCCCAGAGCACTTACTAGGAAATTTCTTTCACCTGAGACAACCGTGAAGCTGATTAGCAATCAGGTGCTTATTAATAAGAGGGCGTTTTTTTTCTTGTCCAGATATAATGTATCGGGTCATACCTGAGTGATGATGCTATCTTCAGACACCTGAAATCAGTACCTCTCAAGCTCTTGGTTTTTGTTGGCAAGAACAAACTTCTGGTAAAATATCAAAATTTGACAAGTTCCAGTCAGATACACTTTGAGCTTGAAGTGAATTATTTGAAAAAGCAATGAAACTGACCTTTTAGTAGCCCTTGCATGATGGGCTGATTTTGCACATCACTGGTGACTTCTTAATAATTTTTCAAGTATGGAGGATTTTAAAAGTGGTAGGGGTGAATCCACTTTCATCGTCAGAGGCATCATAGTTTTTAAATAGTTAACAATTTTCCTAAGTGTTTCCATTAAATGTACTTTCTACCCTTTAATTTCTATGTAGATTCAACACATGGAAGGTCATTCCGTGAACACATTTAAGCTGAGAGACCTGTCAAAATCTATTTTCTTAGAAATACTGATACAGCTCTTTTTTGAGTCAAAGCTGAAATCAGTAGCTGGGAGCCTGAGGCATGCCTGCAGGACAGGGAGGCAGGTATTTGCTGAGAGCCCACTGTGTGCTACATCATTTTGATTAGTCCTTAAAAAACCTTCAAGGTAGATTTTTGTCATCCTCATTACATAAATGACAAAACTGAAGCTCAGGAACTTAGGAAAGTGTGCAGTCTGATGCCTCTGAATAAGAAGTAGAGTTATTTATGTTATTCATGTTTGAGGGCATGTTATGTCATTTTGTGGGTGGTCATTGTCTTCCCAAGTAGATTATAATTAAGCTGAGGACTACGTTTTTCTTCACCTCTTCTCTTTTCCCAGAACAAGGCTTCCCAGATGGTGTGTTCTCAGTACTCACATATTTCCAGCAGTAGAAAGATTCTTTGCCATAATCTCTCCTGTGTGTGGGAGGGAAGCCATTTCTGTTCAGCTGCTGCCTTCTCTGTCAGTTCTTGCTGAAATTTGAGAGAAAGGCAGGAAGACTGAGGATGTCAATACTTATTTTGTAGTGAGGTGTTGATAGCCCACTAGCCAGAAAGAAACAAGGCTTCTAAAATCGTTGTGCCATGTGGAATGATCATTTTACTGCATGGAAGACATGGAAGCTTTAGTGTTCATTTATCCAACAAGTATCTATTTGAGTATACACTCTTCACTCAGTCATTCATGCCAAGTACTGTGCTGGGCATTGTGAAATCATTGGTGAGAAGAAAGGACACTAAACAGATGCACAGGCGCATGTATAATTATGAGTTATGATAAGTGTCATGAAGGAGCAGTGCAAGGTACTCTGAGAGGGCTTGGTAGGGAGAACTGAACTAACCCAGAAGACAAAAACATTGTGATAAAAGGTCAGAAAAGTGAAGGCAGTGATGTCTTGTAACACAGTGGTGTCTCTGGAAGCATGTGTGTTTGTTCCTTTAGAAAACACTCACGGTGATCTTTTACATAACTCTCCTTTTCTCAACAGGGCTATTCTGAGTCTCCAGACCTGGAGTTTGAGTATGCTGACACAGACAAGTGGGCTGCTGAGCTCTCGGGTAAGGCAGAGGCCGTCTGTTATTTGGTCTTCAATAGAATTGAGAGTTAGTGTCATTTTGGAGTTCATTTTATCTCCTAGTTAATACTAGTAATGATATGTTTATATAAAATGTATTATTAGATTCAAGCCCTTTGTATCTCATAACTTTGACTTGTCCTTTACTTTTATGAAACATCTCTGCATGGTCAGCTCAACTGGCTGTGGCCCAGTCCCACTGTGGACATTGATGTTCTTTGGCCATACACAATCCCCCTGACAGTGGTCTGTCCTCAAACAAGGAGTCCTGAGGAATGCCAGTGAGTGGGTCTACCTCTGTGCCCATCTGTTGTTGCCACTGCTGCTCATATGTAGTATGAAATCAGCCTGAGCTGCTTCTCAAGCCTCCATAGTACAGGCCCTGCTCTCATGCCCCTTGAGAGAGACATGTTCATGGTGGCAGTCAGCCTTTGGCATGGCATGGTGGGATCAATGTGCATTGGACTGGAAATGCCAGGCTTTATGCCCAGCTGGCATCTGGTTATTGGCTGCAAGGGTAGTCAGCATTCTATTGTGCACATTAGAGCACTGAGACCCCCTTAGTAATTAGGTAGCATCGTCCAGGAGTCATTATGACTCAGGGACAGAGTTGGGCCTGAAAGCAAACATCTTACCTTCTCTGCTACTTGTGACCCTGCTATGGGACATGGACATGGAGATAATGACCTTTTTTCTTGATAGAGCTCTACAGCTACACAGAAGGACCAGAATTCCTGATGAATCGAAAATGCTTTGAGGAGGACTTCCGGATGCACGGTGAGACGATTCCCCTACTTCTTGGCTCCTTTCACCCTGCATCCTGAGAGCTACAGGTTTCTCTTAGTCATCTGAATGACCTCAGTCATCCTGGAGTGGCCTGAGAAGCCTGCTGAACCGTGGTTATTCAAGGACGGATGTGACATGTAGGGTGGGCTTGCAGGTACTCTGGTGGGGGCTTTTCAGAAGTGTGTATCATGGGGGGAACTTTATGTAATTAAAATTGCACCCAAAATAGCAGTATTTCAATCACACTTCAAATTCATGGGGCAGTGGTATGACCCCCTCCCTTATGTAAGGAGTAATTTATCTTTCTGAGCTTCTGGTCCTGTGGCAGTCCTGAATTTGATGGGTTAACATGGTGTCTGTTCCACTGGGAGGATTTTTCCAGGCTCCAATCTAAGCAGTCTCTCTCCCGGCAGTGACAGATCGGAAGTGGACCGAGCTGGACACCAACCAGCACCGCACCCACGCCATGAGGCTCCTGGACGGCCTGGAGGTCACTGCCAGGGAGAAGAGGCTCAAGGTGGCTCGGGCGATCCTCTACGTTGCCCAAGGTACTGAGTGGACACCCAGGGACCCCTGACGCCAGCTTCAGTGATGCTGCCCAGTCAGATGTGGGGAGGGGCACGGTAAGCCGTGTCTTGTGTCTGCTGCCCAGTCAGATGCGGGCAGGGACGCAGCCATGCCCTGTGTCTGCTGCCTGGTCAGATGCAGGCAGGAGCACAGCGAGCCTTGTCTTGTGTCTGTTGCCTGGTCATATGCGGGCAGGGACACAGCCATGCCCTGTGTCTGCTGCCCAGTCAGATGCGGGCAGGTGCGCAGCGAGCCGTGCCCTGTATCTGCAGGCACCTTTGGGGAGTGCAGCTCAGAGGCCGAGGTTCAGTCCTGGATGCGCTACAACACCTTTCTGCTCTTGGAGGTGGGCACCTTCAACGCTCTGGTGGAGCTTCTGAACATGGAAATAGAGTGAGTTCTTCTGAGGGGCTTAAGTAGGGGAAGGGGAAGCGGGGCAGAGGGGCAGAGCTTGCAGAACTAACCAGTTTTGAGAGGGTTAAATGGGCCACATGGGGCTCTGTTCTGACCAGTCAGTTTGAATAACAGGCAAGATGCTGACCCAAACCTCAAAGACCAGTGAGGGGCCCCACAGCTCACTAACACCAAAGAGCTCATTAGACAGTGCAGCTCCTGCCCAGGCCTACAGTGCCCCTCCAAAAAAAAGAAAAAGGTCTCATTGTGAACCCGCACACTCCCTTGAGTTTCCCCTGAGCAGGAGACCAGACACAAGTCTGACACATGGGTGCAAATGACACCTGCTCTGGCCTTTGTCTCCCCTAGTCCTTTGTTCCGACAGGTCAGCTGCTGCTCTTCTAAGGAAAACACCATCAGTAGTAAAAGCGCCCCTTGGGTGGTTGCATGTCCCGGGCGTTGTTCTAAGGACACTGTACACACTAATTCATTAATGACGTAGCTGCTGTGACCGTCCCCATTTTGCAGATGAGGAAACTGCGGCATGGAAAAATTGAGTGTCCAGGGGCGCGTGGCTAGGCAGCATTAGAGCCATGATTCCAACCTTGGCAGTCTGGTTCAGGGCCTGAGTTTTGGCCCGCTGGGTCCTGTGGGCTCTTGAGCAGTCTAAGTGCATCGCATCGGGTTTTATCACCTTGTTGGGCAGCACTTGTTGGGGGAGCCACTCCTCTTCCTGCCTGGGGGAAGGCGCTGACCCTCACGTCTCTCCCACAGCAACAGTGCTGCCTGCAGCAGTGCGGTGAGGAAGCCAGCCATCTCTCTGGCTGACAGCACGGACCTGAGGTGAGGCGAGCCGCACACCGGGGCTCCCCGAGCGCTACCCAGAGCAGGAGGGCAGGGCGGGCAGGGGCGGGTGCTCTGGGTTTCCTCGCTGTGTGCTGCTCTTCTGCATGCACTGATCTGCGGATTTGATGGGCTCGGTGTATGATGAGTAGGCCCTACTGAGGGCTCCCTGGGTGGGCCCTGGGATGAGACCCCCCCAGAGGAAATCCAGGGTGAAGCCGCTTAGAAGTGTGTCCTCCTGCCCACACTGCTGCCAAGAAGCTTGGTGGAGTGGCTTTTGTACTGGGATGAAGCATGCGATGTGGCTTCTTGTGTCAAGAAGCTCATGGATAGCTTGATGCCCATCTGCGTGGGTTAGTCAGGTTAGTCCTGACGACTTCAGGATGTTTCCTGGCTGTGTCCAAAGTTTAGCAGCTGCTAAACAACAAGATCACCTTTCCATGTTTGTGAGAATTAGAATACACCTCTTTTTGTGAATTTGGAAGTTTTCAGATTAGATGCTGGTGGCGTTCCCTACTGTAGTTAGGGTCCCTGCCCATCGTCCTGCTCGCTCCTGCTTCTACTCCATCATGGGATAAACACTTGCTTGTTCTCACCTTGACCATCCTCTGCTTTGTCTGATCTAACACCCACTCCCACAGCTCACTCCTGCCTGTTTTTCTCATTCCAGGAAGCTTAGGGTAGTAAATGCTTTGGGCCATTCTTGCTCATGTCCATCCATTCAGTAGCCATTTATTAAGCATCTGCTTTGATGCTTAGTACTCAGACCCTAGAAACACAGAATAGAAGGTCTGGTCTCAACCTTAGCACCAAGGACAAAGAAGGAAACATCACAAGGTGTTTTATGGGACTGAGTTTTCAGTTTTTTCTGCCTTACAGTCCTCACACCCATACCTCCACCCCTGCCCCAGCCAGCCTTTGTGTGCAGACTTTTCTCATGTCAGGTGGGATGTGAGGAAGCCAGGGGTGTTCCCTTGATCCCCCATCCTGCCCCCTTATGAGCTGCCTCTTGTTCCCAGGGTCTTGCTCAACATCATGTACCTGATTGTGGAGACCGTTCACCAGGAGTGTGAGGGTGATAAGGCCGAGTGGAGGACAATGCGACAGACCTTCAGGGCTGAGCTGGGTAGGACTCGGGGGCCCTGGCTGGAGGCCTTCCTGGGAATGGAGGCTGGAGGGCTTTGGGAGGGTCCTGTTGCTGCCGATGGTCCTGATACCTTGGTGTCCCCCAGGTTCCCCGCTGTACAGCAGTGAGCCATTTGCCATCATGCTGTTTGGGATGGTGACCAAATTTTGCAGTGGCCATGCACCTCACTTCCCCATGAAAAAGGTTCTCTTGCTGCTTTGGAAGACAGTGTTGGTGAGCACTTCCTTGAAGGGGAACTCAGGTGCTCGAGGATAGGGGAGGAGGGAGACTTTCACTGTGTATCCTTTTGAATATTGAATTATATGAATACATAACCGCTTGAGTTAAATAAAACTCTGAAAGAAGGGTCCTGAAAGGAAATGACAAAAAAGTGTCACTTTGAGCTCACAGCAGCCAAAGAGGACTTGGCATTTGAATCAAAATAGGTGGTTGGTTCCCTGGTTCCTGGAAACTGTTTTCTGCAATCATGGAACACCTTCTCCCCAGACAGGCTGCTCTTTGAATCTGGAGCTTGTAAAGTGATTCGAGGCAAGATTAGAGCTGGTGTAATAGGGCCTCTCAGTCAGATGTCACTGGAAAGAAGAAAGGGTGAGCCCTGAGCCTACATTGTCCTCAGGGTATGGTGTAAAAGCTTACTTTCTTTCTAGCTAGGGAAGGATTGGGTCCAAGAGAGCAGGCTGGCTTTCACCCTTGGCTTGGGAGCCATGTTCAGTAGCCAGACCCTTGCCAGACCAGGAGCCCTTTCTGCTAGGAGGAGCGCACTGGGAGGACAGAAGAGCTGGAGTCTGTACTCTCGCTCTCCCTGGGCCTCACCTTCCTGTCTTCCATAACAGGCCAACTCTGCAGAGCCAGAGCTCAGTGAGTTTAGGCCCCTTCACAGTGGTCTACACGTTTCATTTTGGCTAGAAGCCTGTTGGTTGCCTATGAAGCCTCATTGAAGCCAGAGAGGAAAGCAGTTGTACTGCTCAGAAACAATGAAATGAAGCAGCCTAAAATCATTGAGCTCTACTGGGGTTTTACTTCTAAGGTGATGTTTAGGTGAAGATTTTTTTGTTTTCTTAATTTGAGCATCCAGCATTATATTCCCAATTTAACTTTGAAAGACTAGCATGTACAGCTTTTGAAGCATTTGAATGTCACCTACTTTTCTGGGAACTTGAAGGGTTAAGCTCTTCAGACAGCCTTTGTTCTGACTTGATGAGTCTGTGGTCCACACCGAGCTGTGTGTGCTTCTGCACCGAGCTTTGTCAGCCTGTCTGTCTCTCCTTGCCCCCCCTTTCTCCTCTCCCATGATGATGTCGCTTGCTTCTCTTGGAGGTGGGCCAAGTCCCTTGTTCAGAGGTTGCGTGGTCTCTGTAAAGCTGTGGTGTCACAGATACTTTTGAGCCTGACACAGACAGGGACTTGTGGACATGTTGACCTGGCTCCACGCCTGTCTGATGCAGTGCACTCTGGGCGGCTTTGAGGAGCTGCAGAGCATGAAGGCCGAGAAGCGCGCTCTCCTGGGGCTCCCCCCACTGCCTGAGGACAGCATCAAGGTCATCCGCAACATGAGGGCTGCCTCACCCCCAGCCTCTGCCTCTGACCTGATTGAGCAGCAGCAGAAACGGGGCCGTCGGGAGCATAAGGTGAGGGCGACAAGGTCCCCATGACTCCTGAGGGTTCTCAGGGTGCACAGGTGCAGTGGCAGGGTCCCTGGATGAGCCCCAGGTTGCTGCAAGTCCCCTCTGATCAGTGAGTCAGTGTGCATGCCTTTAGGGCAGGGACACTCTGTCCCCAGCCCAGGGGCCAGGATCTAGTGGGCATTAAGCACGCAGCACTTCTCAGGGACTCTGGGGCAAGAAATGATTTGTCACCTGGGCCCGAGACCATGTCTTGCTCTCAGGTTTTTCCACTGCTCCTGGCTCTCTTCCTTCCACCTTTCTATATGATTGCCTCTCCAGCCTCCGTGCCCCTTGTTCGTTGGTTGGCTCTTGTCTGACCTCCCTTCCCTCTGCTTTCAGGCACTCATAAAGCAGGACAACTTGGATGCCTTCAACGAGCGGGATCCCTACAAGGCTGATGACTCTCGAGAGGAGGAGGAGGAGAATGATGACGACAACAGTCTAGAGGGGGAGACGTTCCCCCTTGAGCGGGATGAGGTCATGCCTCCCCCACTGCAGCACCCCCAGACCGACAGGCTGACCTGCCCAAAGGGGCTCCCGTGGGCTCCCAAGGTCAGGTGAGTCTCAGACCTCCTGAATGCTCTTCACTCCTGAAACCAGAGTCATCATTCCCGCAGGCCTGGCATCTGGCCTGAGTTGTCACATGAGGTCCTTCCTGTGCATGGCCAGGATGTCCTTGACCTTGGGATGAACCTCTCTTGAAGTGCCCAGTGCTGGCCTGGCACAAAGAGACCCTTATATGGCTCTCAAGTCAGGAACATGGATTAGCTCTTGGTTAGACATGATACTAGTAAAAGGAAATAGAAAAAAATTAAAACAAGGACATTTAAGGGAACCCATCTCCACCCTCCCAGGGATTGTGTATGATATTTGACAGAAAATTACAGTTTAAGGGCTTCTCTGGTGGCTCAGAGGTTAAAGTGTCTGCCTGCAATGCGGGAGACCTGGGTTTGGTCCCTGGGTCGGAAAGATCCCCTGGAGAAGGGAATGGCAATCCACTCCAGTATTCTTGCCTGGGGAATCCCATGGACGGAGAAGCCTGGTGGGCTACAGTCCACAGGGTCACAAAGAGTCGGACACGACTGAGCGATTTCACTTACTTACTTGCTTATAGATTAAGGAAGAATTTCTTTGGAACCATAATTAAGACGTTTGAGATACACTTGTGTGAATCCATGGATTTGAAGCTTCCTGTATGCATATAAATGGAATCTGTTTGAAAGGGTATCAACTTAAGAAATAGATGAACATGGGAAAGGATATAGAAGTCATTTTCTTGATCTAAGTAAAGCCCCAGTTTTCAGTGATCTGTGATGGGGATACAGAACAAGTCATCAGAAAATGCAAACTAGCCTAATGGTCTGAGACAGGGCAATATGACTCATATGAAAAAAGGGATAGTTTACAGCTGTAATTGGAACTGTCATAAATATCTGAGAAATTCTGTTGACAGACTTGTTATTAATATCAAGTACGCTTGAATAAAGTATGCTTTTAAGTTTGATGTAGCACCTTAATTTTATGAGTAAATTAGTTACACTTAATATGTTTTCAGAGTATAGATCCAACAGCATTATGAAGGACCTTAAAATAGTCTGAAGATTTCAGTTCTTTTTTTTTTTTTTTCCAAAAAGAAAAACAATTGTGGGAGACTTTTTCTTTTGGCTTCACAATTTCTGGACGTTCTGTGTTTTATTAACCATGAGGCCTTGAGGTAACTTGTAAGAAAGCTGAAGTCTTTTCCTTTGGCAGGGAGAAAGACATTGAGATGTTCCTTGAGTCCAGCCGCAGCAAGTTCATAGGTTACACTCTGGGCAGGTGAGTATGATCTGAGTGCCTTTTAAAGAAAGGTAGTGGGAAGGTCACCCTCCCGGCCTCAGGTGTGTGAGAACCCAGACCTAACGCGGGGCCTTTGTTCTTCTCCAGTGACACGAACACAGTGGTGGGGCTGCCCAGGCCAATCCACGAAAGCATAAAGACTCTGAAACAGGTAGGTGGCCTCAGGTAAGATTTTGGCCTGGTTTGGTCCCAAGTGAGTAAAGTGAGACCAGCCTGTTGGGAGAAGCCTTTTTAAATTTCTGTGCCTGAAGGAACGAGGGGTGGAGGAGTAGGTGGACAGTGGCAGTATGCTTGAAAACACTTTTTCATGCATTTCACTTATTTTAACTGAACTTTTTTATTGGGTACTTACAGGGGTACCCATTAAAGATTATATTAACTGACTGTTGGTGTTTTAAGGGGCCTAGGAAATAGCCTCTGTTTTCCTTGCCCGAGTTCAGGGAGTTGAGTTAGAGGAGTAGGCAGATGGAGATTCAAATGCCAGCTTTGTTGCCGATGGAGTGATATGAGAGCACAGCTGCAGGAGGTGTCCTGACACCTCCCTTCCAGAGTTAGGCAGACTTGCCTACCCAGACCAGAGAGGGCGGAACCCTGCTCAGCCTAGGCAAGGAGCAGAAGAGTACACAGGCTTTTCTTTTTCCTTAAGAGAGAAGAGAAAGAGGTTGGGCTGAGACTGTCCTGTTCCTCCTCCCATACCGGCCAGTCAGGAAGGGGAAGAGTGAGTGGGGGGACGGCACCAGGGTGTTTGGTACACACGTGTCCCTCCAGTAGGAGGAAACAGCACAATAAGGAAGAGGTGTGTCCCCTAAGAGCATACCTGGAATGTAAATGTTCATATGTTTTTGAAATATATTTTTGAAATTTGTAGTATTAGGTGGGCCTCATGCAGCTCAGCTTTTTGAGTATTTGAGTACTTGGTTCTGAGTCTTGAGTCCTTGATTCTGCTTTTAAGTTTCCTCCTATAGCTGTAGCTATCTGAAAGTCCCCTTCTCTACTTTAATTTGCCTTTTCCCCCCCAATCTGTTGTGTGCTTTTTTTATACTGGTTTTAAGAGATAAGTGCCCACTTAGAAAAATATTTTGGGTTTGGGTTTTAGTTCAGGATCTGTGTGGTGATTTAGCCCTCTTCGAGAAGATGATATTTGAGGAAAATTGCACGGGGTCTTTCCCAGGTGTGGGCATTTGGCCAGAGAATGTGGGGTGTTTGTCCTAATGCCTCTTTCCCTCTCTCTCCAGCACAAGTACACGTCAATCGCAGAGGTCCAGGCACAGATGGAGGAGGAGTACCTTCGCTCTCCTCTCTCGGGGGTGAGTTGGGGGCCTTCCTCAGCTCACAGGATCCCGGCTGTTCCCAGCAGTGTATGGGCCTAGGCCGCAGAGTACCCTGGCCTGCCCTCACACAGTTCCCAGTCTAGCTCCCGCTGCTGGGCTGCTGCGTGTCAGGTGCAGGGGTAAGAGCACTCTCTGGGCCCACCACCTACCTCTGAATCCCAGCTCCACCCCTTGGTGGATGGTGACGTAGGCAAGGTACTCGATCTCCTTCTGCTTTCCCCTCCTCGCCGGTTAAATGGAAATAACAATAGTACTTTTTTCCTAGAGCTGTAGTAAGGATTCATTGTGTCTTTACAAGTGAAGTACCTGGGACATTTTGTTATTAAAAGTTTGTGATCATCATTAGCATTGTCGTTTACATCCATACTAGCAGGCTGGGTCAGGAGAGCATTGTCAGGAGCAGGCTTTGTATCAGTGCCCCTTGTACCCATTGTGTTGAAAGGGAGAAGAGGAAGTCGAACAGGTCCCTGCAGAAACTCTCTACCAAGGCTTGCTCCCCAGCCTGCCACAGTACATGGTGAGTGCGCGCCTCCTGAGCGCTCTGCCTGCCATGGGGTCCCCTCCTCACAGCGTAGGCCTTGAGAGCCTGCCCACCGGTGTCCTTGAGCCCCTCCTTGTGCACCCTGAGCGCCTCTAAAAGCACCGCCTCTCAGGACTTTGTGCTGCCCGGGGCCCTCTCAGCCATGCTGTGTGAATGTCTGCTCCTCCCCAGATAGCGCTGCTGAAGATCCTGCTGGCCGCAGCTCCCACCTCCAAGGCCAAAACAGACTCGATCAACATCCTAGCTGACGTCCTGCCTGAGGAGATGCCGTGAGTATCGTGTCTTGAGTGCTGAGGATGTACAGAAAGGGGACGTGTCTGCCTTTCAGTCCACTGTTTGCTAGGCGGTGGTGGTTCTTTGTTTTGTTGTTGCTGCTGCTGCTGTTATATTAGCTCAGCTTCTCTGCAGATTAACTTTAGGGTGTTCCTGGTTTCAAAGAAAGAAAAGGTACTGGGTAAAATACTTAGTTTTACTGCTTGTGGGGACATTTTCATCTAGTTGTCCTGGATTCTAGTGTAGACTCTGCGACTGAATAATTGGAGAAGTCACTTCCTCTTCCTCCTCTGTTAAATGAATGGGGCTATGTCTGACATTTCCCCAAATGCTCCCTTGAAAGCTATGTGATTAGGACATTAGGACATACATTTTTAGCTTCTGCACAAAAATCAGCCTTTGGAACTGGGTGTAGATTCTTTACTATTCACCAGTGAACTGGCATGAAAAATATTTTTGAGTGTCTCAGGGTAATAGTGAAATCTTTAGGGGTTCTTCCTCCCTGGGGCCCTGATCTCATCTTTTTGATGTGAGAGTACAAACTCAGATCACGTTCTACTTTGAGAAGGACCAGGGAACCTGATCTCCTGCCTGCCTGCCAGTACTGCCCAGCGCTGAGCCTAACTCCCTGGTGGGCTGGCCCCTTGAGTGTAGCAGGGATAGCGCAATGAGGGAGTAGGAGGGTTGGCCAACACCAAAGTGGGTGTTATAGAACGCCAGGCCACCTGATGGTCCTTGGAAAAAGGATTCCAGAGTTAAATATTAAATCTCCTCTTATAAAGATTTATAGTTAACTCCTTAATTAAGAACTTAACTCCTAAATTAAGAAACTGATTTAAGTAAATGCTTCCTAAATTTATCTAACTCCGAATCCCATTTCCCCATAACATGAGCCATCTCAGTATGCTGGTATTCCAACAGAATATGCTCTGAGGAACACAAGTATGTATGGTGACAGAAGCTTAAGGAACATCTTGAGATGAGAAGTTCATTTTTGGAGGAAAAGCAGGGAAATAGGCTAAGAATATGTTGGGACATCACAAGGAAGAAGTCAGTTGTACTGAGCTAGATTCCTTGGGAGGTGGGTGAGAGGAGCCAGGCTTAACCTCTGAGATGTCCGTGGGGTGGAGGGTTAGGTGGGAGCTCTGCCCCAAGAAGGCTCTGGGGTCCTGTCTCTTGGGAGCGCCAGGCAGGAGGTGCTGCACGTGCTGGGAGCTCACCAGGGGTTGTGCTTCCAGCACCACAGTGCTACAGAGCATGAAGCTGGGAGTGGATGTGAACCGCCACAAAGAGGTCATCGTTAAGGCCATTTCTGCCGTGCTGCTGCTGTTGCTCAAGCACTTCAAGCTGAACCACGTCTATCAGGTATCTACAGCCCCTTCTTTCTGTCCATGAGGCCGGGGCCTTGGGCAGTGCCGCTTCTCCGGCCCCAAAGAATAGAGGTTTGGCCTTCAGACCTCCCTGAGCTCTGCATGAATGTGCAAATAAACAGTCCTCCACACGAGGCCTCTTATCACTAGAGAAAGGGTGAGATCCCAAGGGGCATGCTTATTTTTTCTCCTGTTGCTTTCAGTTTGAGTACATGGCCCAGCACCTGGTGTTTGCCAACTGCATCCCTTTGATCCTAAAGTTCTTCAATCAAAACATTATGTCCTACATCACTGCCAAGAACAGGTGATAAGGACCAGGGATCAGGAAGGGGTGGGTATGGCCAGATGGCAGGCCTCCTAGCTGGCCTCTTCCACTGAGCCCAGTCAGCATCCACAAGCTGGTGCTTTGCCAGATGTCAGGATCCAAAGATGAAAGAGACGTGGTCTGTAGAAAAGGCCAGTTTGTCAAACCGGAGTCTGGCTAGTCTGGTGACAGGTGACTCAGTCTGCCTGTGCCTGGGTGGGCGGGTTTTCATCCTGGGCTCTAGTACTGCGCTCAGTCCTTCTTCGTCCCCCATTCTTTTGAGGAGACTGGCGGGGCTGCCTGCCCTCTCCCAGGAGCTCGGTCATGTGCAGTGTGATGCTTTGTCTGCCCTTACCCCCCTGCATCACCTGGTGCCAGCTGTACTTGACTCTGCGTGTCACTGTGATACACCACGAGCTGAGCTGTCAGCCAGTCACAGTCTCCAGTAGGGGTTTGGCATAAATTAATGGCCTTGAGAAATCTACCCCCAAACCCCAGGTTTATTGCTGAGGAATACCGTGCTCTCTCCACCTCTCACAAGATTACAAGCTTCTTTCTGGCTACAAAGGGGTCTTACGGGTGCTCTTGTAGCAGGTGTTTTCCTGTCAGGGTAGTGCAGGCAAGGTAGATTACTGTTTCTGCTCCGGCAAGTCAGAGAGGAAAGCCAGCGGCCGTTCTGCCAGGCCCCAGCCCTTGCTCATGGTGGGTGCCTTGTTCTCTTGCCCCCTGCAGCATCTCTGTCTTGGACTACCCTCACTGCGTGGTGCATGAGCTGCCAGAGCTGACTGCTGAGAGTCTGGTGAGTAGCTGGCCTGTGCCCCAGCACTCCCTCTGGGTAAGGGCCGGACTGGAGATCCTGCCTCCTCCCCCGGGGGAAAGGTGTCTTTACAGGTCAGCTCACTGTTGAGTGCCTGGCTTTTGAAGCACTGACATTGCATAGGAGGACCAGAGAGGGGACCTTGTAGGAACATTTGGATTTAGAAATTACTTTGTCAGGACTGTGGTCTTCAGGGGCTGCTGACCCAAAGCTCACCTGGTCGAGTTCTTTTCCTTCTCCCCACACTGGAACTCTGGGGCCACAGCTCTGAGGGAGCCTGGGTGCGCCAGGTAGTGGGGGCTGAGGCCAGGGCCCCCAATATCCTGCTCCACATTTCCTGCAGGAAGATTCTAGGGAGCACCCCCTACCCTCTGTCAGCTTCTGGGATGGCATTCCCCCTGGACTGAGGAGAGGAGAGGGTTCCTGGTACCCACGTGGAGCGACCCAGCAGTGCTGAGGTCCTACATGGGAGGGCCTGGGAAACTGTGGGGCACTGCAGCTGTGTAGGAGATGATGGTTCCTGGGTTTTCCCTGCAGGAAGCAGGTGACAATAACCAGTTTTGCTGGAGAAACCTCTTTTCTTGTATTAATCTGCTTCGGATCTTGAACAAACTGACAAAATGGAAGCATTCAAGGACAATGGTGAGTCAGCACAGCCAGCAGGCATGAGTCCCAGAGCTTAAAGCAGAGTGCCACACACCGTCCTGTCCCCTTCACGTGGGGACAGGGAGTCCCCAGGGCTGCGGGAGCAGCCACATCCTCCTCACCTAACTGTCCTGTAGCCACATCCTTAGATGTTGAGGGTGGATCCCTTGTTCCTTGATGAGTTGAACTTGAAGCTGGAAGAGGCACAGTCATGCACTGAGACAAATGCACGTGTAATATAGACAGAATTTTGTATATCCTCTTAATCTCCACTGGTAACATAACCAGGGTTCTGAGAATTGTCTTAACCCTGCGTCTGTGGATGCCTCGGGTTGGGAGGCCCACTAACCCCTGAAAGTGTATGTTCCTGCACATAGGGATACTTTGGGTGACGGAATCCATAGCTTTCTTCAAATTCCAGAATGACCCATAACTCGGGTGACCAACCATCCAGGTTTGCCTGGGACTTTCCTAGTTTTAGCCAGGAGACTTTAGTGGAAGTCATATGTCCCGAGACACTCTTTAGTCTGAGGAAGACTGTAACAGCTGGCCACCCTGCCCGTAACCCCGGAGGGACAGCAGCGGATGATGGAGCAGGGTTTATTTCTGCCCTCAACATGGCCTCCCTCCTGCCCCCTCCCAGATGCTGGTGGTGTTCAAGTCGGCCCCTATCCTGAAGCGGGCCCTGAAGGTGAAACAGGCCATGATGCAGCTGTACGTGCTGAAGCTGCTCAAGGTGCAGACCAAGTATCTGGGACGGCAGTGGCGGAAGAGCAACATGAAGACCATGTCTGCCATCTACCAGAAGGTGCGGCACCGGCTCAACGACGACTGGGCCTACGGCAACGGTGAGGCTCCCAGCAACCCGGAAGTGCCCAGCTGCCGCTTCTGTAGCATCAGGATGGGAAGCCCAGGAGGGACCTGGAGAAACTGCCAGGCTTGTGTCTGTGGTCCTCCCGGCTCCTCTCTGTGCCTCCTCTCTCCTTTTCCAGGAATTGTCACAAGACTTTCTACGACCTCTCGTCCTTTCTCTCACCCTTGCAGCTGCCTTGGTTCTGGTCACTGAAATTCCCGCAGCTCCTGATGGCTTCCCTGCCTCTAGTTCCTTTCCCTCCCATCAGTGCCTCAGACTTTGCCCTAGTGATATTTATAAAACCCAGATCTGGTGGTGGTATCTCTCTGAGTAAAATCCTCTTTGACTTCTGATTTCCCTGAGAATTAGAGCCAAACTCTTAACACATAAGGCCCACACATGGTCCCTCCCTGTCTTCTATAATCTGTTCCGCTTTCTCAGCCCAGCTTCCATCACACCTAGGGCTCTGAGCACATTGGCCATCCTGTCCTGGACCTTTGTTCCCTCTCCTGGCAGAATGCCTCCCTGTACCCCTCTGTATCTGCACGTGTTCCTCCCCTCCCCACCTTGGTCTCCCTGGCAGAGTGGGTCTTCCTGGTACCCCCAAGCATGCTGCTGCACCCTTAGAATTCCTGACCACGGCACCAGGGCCACAGGATGCATCTGCACTCCTGACACCCTGAATTTGTACAGAGCCAGGGTGGCCCACAGCACCTGGTCAGGGAATTGAGAGAATAAGCAAACGGGGGTATCTGAAGGTTCCTGCCTCTTATTTGGGAGAGCCAGGGGGAATGTGACTTTCAGAGAAGTGTTGTGCTCCTGGCTTTCCTTCTGCAGATCCACATGAACTGCTGTATAGCCTCTTTCTCTGTAGCTCTGGCGTTTCGCCTTTGACCTGACTTTCCTGTGTACCTAGGAGAGAAGTCCTGTAAGTCTTCCCGAGGGTTGGGCTTGGAGGTTTCCTGCTATTGATTGACATTGAACAGTCCAAGCCCAGGCCTACATGGCCCTGAGCCACAGTGACCCCAAGGGGAGCTGCCACAAGGCTTTAGCTCCCAACATAACATGTCCTCCTGCTTCGTCGTAGATCTCGATGCCCGGCCTTGGGACTTCCAGGCAGAGGAGTGTGCCCTCCGTGCCAACATCGAGCGCTTCAACGCCCGGCGCTATGATCGGGCCCACAGCAACCCTGACTTTCTGCCTGTGGATAACTGCCTGCAAAGTGTCCTGGGCCAGCGGGTGGACCTCCCTGAGGACTTCCAGATGAACTATGACCTCTGGTTAGAAAGGGAGGTCTTCTCCAAGCCCATTTCCTGGGAAGAGCTACTGCAGTGAGCCTCCTGGGCAAGAGGCTGAAAATGAAGAAGGGGTGATCTCCAGGTACCCCAGGGGCTGTCCTGGTTCCTTGCTGCAGTGCTCCCGTCCTCCTCCAGGTGGCAGCACATCCCTACTGTGCCCTTCCGAGCCAGGGCTCGCCTGGTGGGCAAGTCTGGATCTGGCTTCTCTTTGATTCCCAGGGTCCTGCTCGGGAGTGGTCATCTCTCTGCTTGAGATCCTCTCTTCCTTCACTCTTCCTTGCCCTCCTCTCTTGGACATAGTTGGTTGCAGCTCCTCTCTCATTCCACCCAAGGCTGGAATGGGCTGGGAATGCATTGTGTCTGAATTTCAGGGGTCATGCTCACTCTTCTGAGACACAAATCCTTGGCATGTCAGCTTGCCAAAGAAGGAGGGCTTGGGATTAGAGTGGAATCTTGGCCTTGCTCTGGGGGTTTCTCATGTCATTCCAGCCTCTTGCTAGGTTTCATCCAGAAGCAATTGCAGAGGTTCCTGCAGCTGCCTCAGCACTTTGGTTTTGGATAGGGTTAGGGGAGGAGAAGCAGCCTCCCTTAATCAGAGGGGCCATTTTTTTTTTTCTTGGTGTGTGAGGTCTGTAAATATCTATATATAAATCCGTGTGTATTCTCTTGTGTCATGTTGAGGTTTTTAATGTGTTTGTGTATTCTGTTTACATTAAAAGGAAGCAAAACCAATGCCCATTGCCTTGTCTGCAGGAAACATGGCCCCTGAACATCTCCTCCAGGTCTAGAAAGTGGGTTTTCTTGCCAGCATTGATAGATCACCCCCTTGTCTCTGCCGAACTGCCCACTTTTCCCATCTGAGGGGGAAGGAGAGGGGGAGTTGGTACTTGGCCCAAGTGTTCTTACCCCAGTCAGTCTGGTTTTGCCCCAGGGCTCCCAGCCCCAGGGCTCGGGGTTGCTGAAGTGATAAGTTGTCTGCAGCCCCCCCGGGTTAGAGATAATTGCACTAGGAGCCCCAGGTCTCTCTGGCTCACGCCCTTGAGCTGGCCTCAGCCAAACCAATTCCAGTACTAGGAGGGGAGGGGCCAGGTCAGAGAAGGGGTGGACTGTCCTGGGCCCTCACTGGGCAGGTGCTTGGGACTGAGAGGAGACTTAAGTGCCCAGAGCCTGGGGAAGCAGACCATCAGGAGTCCTGGGAAAGAGAGGGTCAGCAGGCCCACGTGGCTGAAGAAAAAGCAAGGCGCACCTTTGTGCTCAGTGTCAGTGTGAGGCCTCCTGGAGCCTGCCTCCAGCCTTTGGATCCCTGGATACATCTGCCTCCACCTCACTCGATCTTGAGGCTCTGCTTCTGAGGATCTTATGTTCTGATGCTGGGAAAGGGTGTCCCCTTTTCAGAACTGCTTCAAGTTTCCTTATCTTACCCGTAGGCCACGTATGGGGTTTTTCTAAGTCTCCAAGGGGTCTTGACTTATAAAGGAAATGTATTCTGGGGGAATTCTCCCCTTTGTTGGCTTTTTGTTCAGTACCTGCCCACTGAGCCTCAGTCCAGGCCCAGAGCTGGGCTTTCAGGACGGACCTTGACGCACCAGCGTGATTAGGAGCAGCCTGGTGGAGCCAGCAGTGTGTTCCCTGTGTAAGTCACACGGCCTAGGAGATGGAAAGTCCCTGCAATTGTCCTTTACCACAAAGTAACTTGCACAGGACGAGGGGATTCAACACAATTTATGTGTACATGATGGATTCTCTGCTTTTTGTACTAGGATTCTCTGCTCTTTTGTACTGTAGTCTGAGTAAGATAAATTTTCATATTCTTATTTCACCACACAGCCTGGCTCCCTGGACCCACCTGCTGCTGGTGCTGCTAAGTCGCTTCAGTCGTGTCCGACTCTGTGCGACCCCATAGATGGCAGCCCACCAGGCTCCCCCGTCTCTGGGATTCTCCAGGCAAGAACACTGGAGTGGGTTGCCATTTCCTTCTCCAGTGCATGAAAGTGAACAGTGAAAGTGAAGTCGCTCAGTCGTGTCTGACTCTTTACGACCGCATGGACTGCAGCCTACCAGACTCCTTCGTCCTTGGGATTTTCCAGGCAAGAGTACTGGAGTGGGTTGCCATTGCCTTCTCCGTGAACCCACCAAGCTGAGGCTTTGACCTCCTTCCCAGTTTTTTATTTCCCTTATCTCTCCTCTGAAGCTTCACCTTAACAAAGGTGCCATTTTCTCTCTTGGTTTGCAAAGATCTGTAAATATCTTTCTATATATCTATGCAGAATGAACACAGAATAACAAAGCTGCATAGGCCAGTAAAGCTTGGGCAGGTGAATCCTACATCTGCTGGCCCGGGAGGGGAAGGATCTTAACTATGGCCACAGAGAGCGCTCTGGACAGGTTGGCCGTTTGAAGCCAGGTTTAGACCGAGCCCGTTGTGTGTGTCCTGAGTGTCCAGGTGAACAGGACACCACGCTGTTACTTACCTTGAGAAGCTCACGGTTGATGGACAGCTGGCCAGAAAGGCAAGTGGAAGCAGTGATGTGGCAGAGACAGACACGTGGAGGGCCTCACGGCCCCGCAGCTCCTAGCCAGTGCCCTCCTGCTGGGGAAGGGGCAGGGCAAGGGGAGCCTGCAGTTGTTGAGGGGAAGGCGGGGGCTCCAGCATCAGGAACAAGGGCTCCGAGAGCACATGCTTTGTGCTCACAGCAGGGATGAGCCAGTGGCCAAGGCTGTTCTCCCCCTGCTGGATACAGGAAATGCCCAGTTCCTGAGGGCTGCGTTCCTGTCTGGGGCTGCAGAGGGTCTGTGCACTGGGGTTATAATTCAGGCTGATGTGTAAAGGATTGGGAGCGCCTGGGGCTGAAGATTGAATGGCTCTAATGAGAAGCATTTCCTGATGCTGGATTGACACTGGAAGCTGAGACTGATGGGCATGCTAGCTAGGGCTCTCCTCTCCGGGTCTGGTGTCTGGGCCCCTGCCAGGATCAAGATTTAGGGCTTCTCTAAGTGGGACCCACAGGAGCAGAGAGGAGCCTTAGCAAAAGGAGACCAAGCCTCGCTCCTCTCAAGACTCCAGGTGGGGTCAGTTCGCTTTTCCTTTTCTGAAAGGGTGAAATAGAGCCCCCAACCTGGCCTTGACTAGGCTGAGGAGTAAGGCTGCCTCTGGAGTGAGGCTAGGGGCAGGGGCGTCTGGAGACCTGGGGGCAGTGTCTTGGGGTGAGACGCCTAGGGTGTGGAGGAGGAGGAGGGGAGGACGGGAGGACGGCTAATGGGAAGCAGGTGGAAGGGCTGCCCGAGTCCCAGCCAGGGGACAGGCTGGCTGGGATGGCCCAGTCAGTGGGAGAAGCCGTCAACTCACAGATAATCCCAGGGAACAGGCTCTGGGATGCCCATTCATATTCATTATGTGTGAAGTGGGGGGCTGTAAAGTCAGCTTTCTCTTCATGCAGCTGTCACCAGACAGAAAAATATGAGCTGTGGGCAGATGCCCCTAGATGGGAGCCAGGAGCTGGTCTCTGGCCTCCCCGTGCCCTCCCCCACCAGGGCCGCCCTCCTGCACACGGCCCACTCCGGCCGCTGCCCGCCTCTCCCGCCCTTGCTGCGTCGATCTCTGACTCAACTTTGTGTTCTTCTCTTGTCTGTCTCTTTCCCACTTCTGTTTCCTTTGCTTTCATGGATTCCTTCCTTTTCCCTCTTTCTGAGCTGTGAAAGTGAGGGGGTCGTGGTTTTTCTTGACCACCGCTCTGCGTCTGGCACCCAGCACCAGATGTGGCACAAGTGGGCACTCAGTATCTGTAGAACTAATCTTTCTCTCCTGTGTCTCTGACTTCTGTGAGACAGTCCAGAATTTTGCTGGCTACTCCTTAGGTGAAGAAGCTTATAGTGCAGTGCTCTTAGCCCTGCAAGTACAAGGGTGAGTTTGCTCCCCAGTTCACTATTGACCAGCTGGGTGAAGGTGGTGCTGCTCATCCGTGGTCGCTGGGACTGCTGCTCCCTACTGCCCAGGCTCTTCCCTTCCTGATGGACACGGGCTCAGGACACCTGGACCTCAGAAGCCAGGCCCTCAAGTGAAGGGAAGAGAAGGAAGACACTGGTGTCCTCGGGGGCGGGAGGTGATTGAGCCTTGCCACTGACTATCCCATCTGATGGATCTGCGCCCTCCTCGGGAAGAAGCAGGCGCTGGCCACTGGAGTCTGTGTGTGCTTGGGTTTCTCCGCGCCTGGAGGAGGAGGAGGCCCAGGATTGGGGGAGCTGGGCTGCTAGCTGAGGCCAAGCTGCTCTGAGCAATGTGGTTGTGTTTACTGGGAGGGTGGGAGGGCCGGGCCCGCTTTTTTCCTGCCTTCCAGGAAGATAAGGCAGAAAGCAGGGATGAAGGATAGAATGGGTAATACTCTAAAACCACAAGAAAGGGTCCTGGCTTTCGTCTCTGCCCTACAGCTCAGACATGCTCCCGGGGCGTCTGGGAGCAGGGAATGGCTCCACCCCCACTACTCTGGGGTCCCTGCCCAGGGAACCTCAGAACCTCAGTGGGCTCCCCAGACTTCCATCTCCCGTCCAGTGTCAGCTCACCCACAAGCTATTTCAACTGTCTCACTCCCCTTCCCACCCCTGGTTTTCCCTTCCAGATGAGCCCAGCAACCCCAGAGCCAGGCTTTTCCCGTTGCTTTCCTGTACCAGCTGAAGCCACAGGGACCCTAGGCAGGTTAATGAAATGCATTGGCCTTGAGGGCTGGCTGCAGGTTCATCTTCCCCTAGCCTCTAGGATCCCTGCCTGGACCCCAGGCACAGACCAGCCCTAGAACAACCAAGTGCCAAACCCTGAGGATACACAATCACCTGGTATAAAAAATACTGCCACCTTTATTATTATGCTGGGCAGCATATTTTTTTTTTTTTTTACAAAAGTATCTTTACAAAAGTGGGGTTTGGAATCTCAAGGGCTGAGTCTGGGGAAATCTGTTTTCTTACCAACATCCAATGAGTAAACCAAGGGAGATCTGGCCTGATCTCATGGAAGAGAATTCAAATACTGGTGGTTTCTGGTGGAATTTCTTACCCTTGGAAGGGGAAGAGGACTCCATAGCATGTTGCAGGAGGGGGCACAAACACGAGGAGAGATGGTGGAGCAGGGGAGAAGGGGTACCTTCTACGCTGACCTCCAGTTTCCAAGTGGCAAGGAACGCCTAGTTAAACCTGTTTCATCCTCCCATTTTCCTGCATTCCCTGAATGAGGTGCCAGTTGTTTCAGCTGGAGGGTTGACAGTTTGAAGGAAGTCTGAGGGAAGCAGGGCAGTATCTTTTTCCCTCCTGCCCAGAGTTTGGGGGAGGGGACCCAGTGTGTGGTAGGAAGAGTCCTACCTGCTTTGAAGCCCCCTTTCTCCTGGGCAGCCTCGCCTTATTCTAACAGGAAAGATTCTGTAGCTTGTTCCCTGCGGAAGCCTGAGGGTCCCAGCTGCTCTGCCGGGGCCTCCGGGGACCTTCTGGGCTTGAAGGCAGAGGTGCGTCCTCTCTGGCATCCAGGCCAGGGTGGGGCAGGAGCAGCTGGGAGCAGAATCGGGGTTGGGCAGCTCAAGTCTGCGTGTCCATGAGACAGATCATGTGGTCCAGTTCAGCAGGCTGGGCGGCTCCTTGGGCTTCACCCTGAGTGAGATGAGGCTTGGAGACTTATAGTCGCCATCCGGGGAAGGCTCAAAGCTGTGGCCCCCTAGGGCGGGGGAGAAGCCATGGATGGAGTAGATGCCAGGGTGGGCTCCAGGAGAGGCTGGCACCCCCATGAAGCCAGCCACATTCCCATGAGGGTGGGAGTATGGAGACATGCATGGGGAGGGAACGCCCTCTGGACTCACGAGGCAAGGACCCCCGGGGCTCCCAGGCCCTGAACTGGGCCACAGGGAGTTCTGCAGCTGAAAAGAGAGAAGTAAGCCCATGAATCAGGAGGCCCAAAGGCCTCCCTAACCTAGAGACTCTCTCTCGCCCTTAGGGCTCCAGAAGCTTTGGAGAGAGCTTCTTCTTGGCCCAGGTCTAAAACCTACCCGCCAACACTCACAGTGACATCTCAGAAGGCCCCTGCCGTTACTTCTCAAACTGAGATCTCCAACTGCTCCACATACATCCTTCACGAGACTGGGCAAAGCCCATCTTGCAGAGGAAGAAGTGATTTACCCACAGTCACATGGAGCCCTAAGGCTGCTCCTGGTCTCCCTGGGGCCACAGCTTACACTCTGGCTGGCTTTCCCACAGAACTGCCAGGCCCTGGGTCTGGGTGGGGAGGGGTCTCACCTGGGGATGGCTGTCGGTCCGGGGCAGCATGGAGATGTCATAGGCAGACGTGAAGGGGTTCCGCCCCTCCTGGATCTTCCCATAACGCTCACGCTTCCGCCACTTGGCTCTGCGGTTCTGAAACCAGACCTGGGGAGAGGTTGAGGAGGTGACACAGCAGCCCAGTCCATGAGGCGCGGAGCCCACTGGGGCGAGAGCTGATGGCTGTATCCTCCTGTGGAGTGGTGGGGAGCTGGCTCCAGGCTGGTGACTGAATTGCAGGAACTTGTAAATTCACATCATTCTCAGGGCCTGGGATGGGGCCTAAAACAAGCCCAAGCCCAGAGAGGATTTATTGGCCCTGTGGGCCCTCCCCTGCTCCCGAGGCTGAGTCATACTGGTTCTCCAGTCTGGCTGTGTCTGGTAAGGGTAGTGTTGGGGTCTGTGGCCTCACAGCCCCAGGACAAGTACATGTGTTGGGTTTCTAGTCTTTTTTTTTTTTTTCCAAACATTTTTATTTTAAATTTTTTTCTTTTTTAAAAATTTTTATTTCTTTTTTTTTTTACCATTTATTTTTATTAGTTGGAGGCTAATTACATTACAATATTGTAGTGGTTTTTGCCATACATTGACATGAATCAGTCATGGATTTACGGGTTTCTCGTCTTATCTCTTTCCCAGTGTTCGCACCTTACCACATCTGAGAAATGCAGTAAGGTAACCTGGAGACCACAGCCTGGAGCCCAGCTCCTTACCATGGTCCCTTGGCACTGACCCCTGCCGCTCCCTACAGCCTCATCTCCTGTCAGGCAACAACACTCAATTCTTCCTAGCTGCCATCTGAAACACTGCTATCTGGCTCCTCCTGCCTTTGCCTAGGTTTTTCCAGCTTGCGCTACCCATCCCCCCAACACGTACATTTGAGCTCGGCACCCTCTACTGGACTTCCTGAAAAGCCCAGCATAGCTCTCATGATACTCATCACATCCTATACCACTGTCAGTTTTGGAACCTCTTTCCCACTCATTTCTGAGCTCCTGGCAGGTGAGCGTGGCATATCTGTATGCCACCCACATACCTGGGGTGGATTTGTCATCTGGTTATGCTGTGTGTACCGGTGCATGTGTCAAGCTCTAGGCTAGATATTGGCACTATCAAAACCAAACCAAACAAATTCTCCTCCTTTCCAGGGATTCAGCTGGGAGCCACAACAAAAGGAGCTGCATGAGTGTATAAGTAACCCTACCTGAGTCCCTCACTCCCCACGCCCCCTCTCACGCAGGAAGGGAAGGCCCAATAGTTAAGAAGTTGGATGTACTCCCGGCCCTTAACCCTGGGTTGCAGATCCCAGAGCAGGCCTGGGTCAAGGCTAGGGAGGGGCCACTACCGGTTCCTCTTTGCTCCTTAATTTGCTATCCCTCCCCTGCAGTCCATGGCGTTGCAAAGAGCTGGACACGACTGAGCAACAACCACCTCTGCGGACAGATGGAGGAGCCTGGATTTGCTGATCACTTTTCTTGTAATTCTCTGTCACCACCCGCTCTCCCCTCTAGGCTCTGAACCTGCCCCCTGCACTGTCCCGTGGGTGGTCCCCTTACTCCTCCCAACGAGGTGGGGCCTATGGGTGGTGTCATGCTCTTGTCAAGCGTCACTGCTCTTGGGCCTCAGGCATCATGGAAGCTTCTAGACTAGGTCTGGGGGCCTGGGGCCATCCCTCCACCCCTTTAGGGTTGAAAAGGCCTAGAAGGGCAGTGGGGAAAGTGTGTTCTGCCTCCCCAAAGCAGTTCCATGGGGGCAGCTCTTCAGAGCAGCCCCCTGCCCCGATCCCCACTGAGGCTTGCTGGGCTGTCTGCAGATGTGATGTTTGGACTTCAATGGCTTATGTGATCTGGGGTTATCTCAAAAGCTGGGCCTCTTACCCTGATGGTCCCATGCCTTGAGGAGCCCTGGGGAACAGTTCTAAAAGTCTGTTTTGGGGGCCACCCAGGAGGAACATGGAAGCAGGAAGACCCAGCAGAGTAGAGTCCTATGTTGAATTCAACTGAAGGGCATTCTCTGCCAGGCTGCAGTTGGCCTCTTTATAGACTGACTACTGGTTCCCATATTCCCTGCCACAGGCCCTTAGAGCCTCTGGAGGGGCCCCCACCCAGGCTGTGATAAGCATGAGCTCTGCCCTGGGTCCACTGGGACAGGGACTCTCCTTTGCTTAGAGGTCACCTCCTTGCCTTTCACAAGAAGCCCAAACCCAACCCTTCTCCTGGTGCCTCCAGCTTGGCATCAGGGAGCCTGCTCCGAAGCAGGTTCAGAGGAAGGCAGCAATGACCATCTTCCTCGGGCCAGACTCTTGTTGAAGCCCCCTTTTCTGTCCCCACCTCCTGCTTACCACCTTCATGTTCTTCCTCTCTTCCAGCACGCCTTGGACATGGATTCCCTTCCCTTCTCTCTTTCCCAGCATCCCTCTGTCCTCCCACCCCATCCACACAGGCTGGGCTCCACCCAAGTGAAGCTGGCGACAGCTCCATCCAGCCCCAGGGCCTGATCTCTGCTGGGGAGAGTTTGTTGTTGTGGGCAGGGGCTCCCCGCCAGGTTCTCCCAGCCACGGTCTGGGAATTGGCAAGACTGAGGTCACTGGCTCAGGCTGGCTTTAAGCACCACTGATCCTGAGACCCCCAGCAGGGACCCTCCCCATTCTGGGCAGCTACCCTGGGAGCGGCCCTGAGACATGTTTAGCATTTCACATCTTCTAAAATGCTGTCACACCTGTGATCGTCCAAGATACTCCTCATGCGTTAGTACTATCATTCTCTTTTCCTAAATGGGGAAACCAAGACCATGACATGCCCCAAGTCACCTGGTCAGCTGGTAAGTGGCAAAGTTAGGACACCCACACAGGTCTTTTGACTCCAGGAGGCTGTCACCCTCATCCCATGCAGGAGCCTCAACTTGGGCTGCGAGCCTGTGGCTGCAGCCGAGCTGGGCGTGGAGGGGAGCCCGGGAGGGCGAACAGGGGCAGGCTTGGGGAAGGGCAACACTGTGGTGCCAGCATCCACCTCTCCTGGCCCCCGAGTGGCCTGGCTCACGGTCTGGGTGGTCAAGGCAGCCAGGGAGCTCTGTGGCCGAGGTGCCCTCACCTGTACTCGGGCCTCGGTCAGGTCCGTGCGCAGAGCCAGCTGTTCCCGGGCATATACATCAGGGTAGTGGGTTTTCTGGAAGACTTTCTCCAGTTCCTCCAGCTGGAACGTGCTGAAGGTTGTGCGATTCCGGCGCTTCTTGCTCTTGTTCTTGGCCAGCTCCATGGAGTCAGGGAGTCCCGGGGACAGAGGGACACGCAGGCTGGCAAGGCAGGAGCCTGGGGAGCCTGGCAAGTTAGAGGTCCCGTCTCGGGGGCCCCCTCGGCAGTCCAAGGGCAGCTGGGGGAAGCTGGCAGCTTTGGAGGCCTTCTCCTCAGCTGCAATGGAAAACACAAAAAGGAGGATGGAAACCGAACCAGGGGGTTTTGTGGGTGGAATGGAGGGAGGGGGAAGAACGTTGACGCTTCAGT